TCGGAACGTGATTCCATGGTTGGTTTAGATTTTGATGTAACCAGGTCGGACACTTCTGCCACCAGCACCACATATATACACACTACCCCACACAAACTCACATACACCACAGTCTTCGCCCACCTCAAGACGAATTCTGTATTTTGCGCTCAACTTCAAACTTAAAGGTAAAATACAGATTTCGAGGGATTGAGTCGGACGCCGCCCCCACCACCACCAGACACACACAGTCAGCGTTGACAGGAATTCTGTATTTTTCCTCAAAATCAAAATTTAAACCAGCCATGGAATCACGTTCCGATGCGCTCATTAGATGCGGCATATGCAAAAGCCCTTTCTTTGGTAAAGGTTTCTCTGCTCTTAATTAATTTCAGGTAGATCAGAGCAATATTAAGTGAGATATGGAGCATTTACCCTTCAGCACTCGCTTCGTTAAAGGTGAATAAAACCGTGGTTGTTATTGCTCTAAGGTGATGTTGATTTGTCAATTAGATAGAATATTCATTGTTAATACAAATGGATTGCCCAAAGTTGGTACCTCTCATCACTCTTCGAGACGGTATACCAGTCAAAATTCTACTACATCGGCAAACCTACATTTCGAAATGAAATTTGGGGGTATTATTTACTTCCGAGATCAAGAAAATATATCCTGAGGCCTGTAATAGCAATATTATGAGATGACACTTCCTGGAAAGTAATGTAGTTGTTATTCCTTTAATATTTCTCTAATCGCTCTGAAATTTATTTAGTTTAGGTTAGATTAGGTTAGGTTAGGTAAGATAATGACTTTCCACTCGAAAATATCGAAATTATGACTTACTCCAAGACATACCCTTCTCGCCATCACTGGACGATATAGACTGCACTTTGACTGATCTGCGTGACCGACCAATACGAAACTAATTTTAACCCTTATAATCCATTTGTAGGCACTCCGCTGTAGTCGAACTGGATTACCTGACTTGTATGGATATTCTTGTGTGATTTTTAACCTCTTTTAAGCCTTCCAGCTCACAGGACATGAATACCAATACTTTCTTATGAGGTGACATCTGTGTGCGGCCGTGTTTACAGCGGGCAGACAACTGAACGATGCATTGTTGTATAAGTCCCACGAAGCAGTGATCTATATACCTAGTGATGACAACGCAGCCTAGAATCACTCATGCAAATCTGAAAACAAAAGATAAACAAATTGCGGATATTCTGGCGGATCATATGAAGATTAGACACCCCAGCTTATTTTACCTGGTGTAATTAATTTAAACATCTTAACGCTACCTAAGAGGGTTGAATTAGATCAGGTTAGATTAGGCTAGATTGTTAGGTTAGGTTAGGCTAGGTTAGCATTGGAAAGTTTAATCAAAAGGTGAGAAATAAGAATCTTCAGGTTAAGAAATAATACACCATGATAAGAACTTCAAGATGGTTATAGTGTTATAATTTGTTGCTTTAACTTGTGTTTTTGTTGTTAACTTAGAGAATTAAGAAACCACTGTAGCAGAACAATGGCCGCACCTAAAAGAAATACAAAAAATAACTACTACATCAATAACTAAAGTACATACATTAGGCAAAAAAAATACCCTACAAAAATTAATTAAACAAAATTAAATAAATACACAAATATAAGTAAAATTAATCAAAAACAAAATGTAATGGGGGGGATTTTTTTGTGTATGATAGAATATTTAGTTGTAGGATGTAAAGTGAGGAAGCTCTTAGGGGAAATCTTTTTCTAAACACCGCTTTCAATACAACTATTTATTATTCACTCAATGACACAGACACATTAATAGAACATTATGTAATGAGACATAACACAATAAGAAGCTTACATATATAAGTAAGAATAGAGAGTAGGAATGTAAAGATAGGAACTTGGTAGCGTGGCCGGGATGTTATTTACTCAGCGTCAATAAGCTTATCTTATCTCGTATGTCAATACCCATATATTCCTTCTTAAAGGGACAACTTGTTAAACACCTCTCCGATACAACTATTTATTAATTCACTCAATGACATGGACACATTAATAACGCTATTATATCGGGGTACTAACACATTATATTTTACGTTACTCGACACTGACTCTTGGACACACCTGAATGAATACACTTCCCACAGTAGGTAACTCACCCTAGGAATCGTTCTGACAAGACTCACGTGTACCCTGACGTAGGCCCAGTGAGTGCTGGCTGGGCTGCCTCCTATGGAAGAATCTGCTTAGCTGGCGATGCCGTGGTCTGGTCGGGAAGTCTCCCTCCCGACTTGGGGAGGGGACGTGCGTGACTCTGCTTAGTGAACCGAGTGACGACTCGAACGGGAGAGAGATGACAGCAACCAGAATGAGAATCAGTATGACCAGAATAAGAATGAATAATGCCCGTGGACGGGACTGTAGGGCCTTTATATGGGGTCGGCCCAGCCGGCTTCTGACCTCTGACCAATTATCACTAAACTGGTTTGATCTGGATAGCTGTGTGCAGGTGTGGTCCTGCCCAGGTGTCTTGGTTAGGTGAGGTTGTAGGTCACCCGGCTAACTCACGTCATTAGCGGGCGAGGTCAAGTCCCTAGGGTCGACCTGAGGTGTGTCAACCCGGAATGTGGTGGTACCACGAGGTCTGTAGTGTACTTGCTGTTATATGTGACATAATTCTGGGCTGTAAGCTTTGGTCTGACAATCAATCATTACAATTATATCGCAGTTACTAGACACTGACTCTCGGACACAAATATAAAATGGATACACTTCCCACCGTAAGTTTCTCTCCCTAATGGATCGCCCTGACAATGATCAAGTGTGACCTGAGGGAGGCCCACCAGCTGGGGGCTCTGACTGTAGGGCCTGTTACTCCCGGCGGGCGCTGGGCTCTGTCTCCTGTGGCTAGGGACTCGGTGCTGGGAAGGGAAGTCACCCTCCCGACCTCGACTTGACGAGTGTGACTCTGTCCCCTGGGTTCTGTCTCTCACTCCTGGAAGGAACTGTAGGGCCCTTTTATTGAAGTGTCAGGTCGGCAGGTGTCGTCTCCTAATTATCACTAATCTTGGTGTGTCTGGCCAGGTGTGTTTTATCAGGTGTCGGTTTGCTGACTGGAGGGCCATTTCTTGAATTAACAAAATCATGTCGCCTGGTCTCACTCCTTTTCCCTTCGTGACCAAGGCCTTTGTTGGATCAGGTCTTACTCGCATTTAATTACTGTAGGGTGGGTCGACTGACGTGGGTGTACACCTGCTCATCTAGTTACTGCTGTATGTGCTGTTGTTCTCTGGGCTGTATGCTATGGTCTGATAGACAATCATTACACTATGTATACATGCCTATATTCATACATACACACCCACAACTATGTATAGACGTATACAGCCGAGTACTCACGCCTACAGCTATGTATACACGCTTTAAATAATGTATGGATGACTAAAATTGTGTATATACAAGACTACAACTATGAATATACACACCTACGAATATGTATACACGCCTACAACTACGCACAATATTACCATAACTTTTCCTATCATTTACAACTACTAAATATCTTGCACACACACACACACACACACACACACACACACACTCACACACACACACACACACACACACACACACACACACACACACACACACACACACACACACACACACACACTCCCAGTCAATCTTACTTCTTGCACTGTCACTATGTTGAGATGCCCTGTAGTTTGAGCTTCTCCCCACCTAGTTATTATATATCATATTTGTATCACTTATGTTACTTGTATATTATTTGTAAATCAAGTGACCCATTCCCCAATTATGTAACTGAATATTTTCAACCTTCCGGCTGCCATGCTCTTCCAATTAACTGTTAATTATTATTATTTATTATTATTATTATTATTACACAGTATCATTGTGTCGTGGTAACATGGTAACATATATTACATGGTCTGAAGATGTCTTAACCGTGTTACCTACCACGACTTATGGCTTCTAATTACATCATGTCTTAATGTCTCTTCTTCTTCTTCTTCTTCTCAAATTGTAGTCGCCATAACTCACATAAGGACAAAACAAATAAACACACACACACACACACACACACATCTAAAAGCCAAGCATCATCACCAAACAATCACACACACACGAAGGGTTTATCACGTACGTACACACCAACACACACACACACCAACACACACACACACACACACACACACACACACACACCTCCCCAGCCTCCCTCCCTCCCTCCCTCCCTCCCTCACAACACACACAGTCACACCGCCGCCAACAAGCCCCTGTGTAACATCTACCAGTTCTCACACAGACTTGAGCGAGGGTGGACGTGCTCATCTGCTAGTCCGCTCCACCATCACTGGACGGCCCATTTGCCATACACTCTCACGGAGATCGCTCGATTTTCCGACGCAATCCGCCCCTCATACATGGATTATAAACGTGTATACATAATCCCAGTGGTGTATACATGATCTCTGTGGTGTATATCCTAACCCTAGTGATGATAAATCTAGGTATATTGTATATTTATGGTGTATAAGTGATAATTTAATACACCTATCAACAGCATTGATTCTAAAGTGATGTTAGTTGTGACCTAAGTGTTGAAATCCCACAAGCATCCCTAATCTGTAATCCAAATCCTTCGACACCTCCCTCATGTGCCGGGAGTCTCGCCAGGATTATGGTGGTGCTTAAATCCCTGGAGGGGATTAATGGGATGTGTTTACATCTGGTGCGCTGACTCTGCTGACTACCCACAGAAAAATGAGGTGAGGATTAATTACGGGGTGTTATTGAGTCCTTGTGGTGATGGGATTTACCTTAATTATAAATGGTAGTGTAATCCCGAGTTGGGTTATTGATTTGGTGATTTATTCAGTAATGGGATTTATCTTAATTATAAATTGTAATATAATCCCGTGTTGGGTTATTGGTTTGGTGATTTATTCAGTAATTATGATTTAAATCCTAAAAGCGGTGATTTATCCACATTTAATCGATAATTTTGAAGAGTAATTAATTCCAATTAAATTTGTGTGATGATTATTAAGTAATTAACTACCGAGGATTTAAAATCTAATTCAAAAGCGGTGATTTATCTAATTAGAAACAACGAGGGATTAATATAACAATCTACCTTAAGGATTTACCTGTGGAAATATAAGTGACGCAATTAATCACATTTGAGGGGATTAATTAATAAACTATGAAATTAATGCGGATTTATATATACTGACGCCATGAATTAAATAGAATTAAATATATTAGCGAGTTTGAATGTTTTTCCGATTAGTTTTATCAAACCTGAAAAATATAGCTAAAGAAGGATTTCTTTCATACCAAAATAATCCACCGTCACTGTCTTATGAAAAGGTAATTAGCGATAATAAATGTAATTAAAGGGAAAGAAAGGTTAAAGTAATTCAGGGGGAGAAAGTGCTAAAAGTAATTTATCGGACGAAAGATAAAATAAGGTAACTAACGGGAATAAAGTTTTAAGCTAATCTATGGGAATAAAGTGTTTAAAAAGATAATTTATAGGAAGTAAGTGAGAAAGAAATAGAATTCACGGGAAGAATATGTTAAGTCACGCGTGAAATCGGTCAAAAGATAATTTGGTTCGGGTAAGAATAATTAGATCCTTAAGGGGAAATATAAATTGATATATAAAAATTATGTAAATCTGCCACCATGTGCTTACAGATTATAATGTAAATCAATCATTGTGTAAATAGGAAGAAAGTGTAAATTAGGTATATGATTTACAGGGTGTAAATCTGTAAAAAAAAAAGGCGATTTCTTGTTATAATCTACAGGCGTAAATAAAAAATAACGGTGATTTACAGGTGAAAATTGGACAAAGATGGTCATATGGACGTCACAAATGTAATCCACTACTAATAGAATGACAATCACACAAATACAAAATAACTCACAACTTAAAACCAGTCACCAGTTACCTTACGCAAATTACAAAAATATAATCAACCCTAAACTCAAAATATAATCACAATTACATTCAGAAAAGGGAATTAATGGTGGTAAGAAAAGGGGAATTATTAACCGTGGGAACGAAAGGGTTAACTGAATGAGTCACCTTTTCATCACCATTAAAAAAGGTGTTTATGAGGTAACGAAATATGTCTGTATTGATGACACCTGTTAGTTGTTAATGAGGTCTGGGGTGAGTTTAATAATAACAATAACAGCACCACTTCTACTACAGCAATAACAACAAAAACTAAGGTACTACTACTACTACTACTACTACTACTAATGATAATAATAATAATCATAATAATAATTCCACCAATTATTATCATGGAAGTGAATCATCAGACAGGCATATTAATAATCAAATCAAAACTAAAAAAACAATCCCTAATTAAACATCACCATTAATTAAATCAGAGACACACCTGTTAATCACCTGCGTTCAATCACACCTGTTGATAGTAAAAAGTCATCCTCAGATAAGAAAAACAGATCCGTCATATCAGAACTGGACGGCGATGGGCTGACTCAAACCAACTCAGATGAAATAATAAGTAGTTGCTATTTTTTTTATCTAAACTACGTCAATACTTATACTTTTTTGAGTCTTATTTACTTATACTTCAACTTCTCATTACTTAAGTGGCCTATGTATATGTTAAGTAGATTTACAGATACTTTAAGTGACTAAGTTTATGTTTATAAGTAAATAAGTTAATAGATTGGATGTTTTTTCGGGGTTAATAGTTATGTGTTGTCCGCCCGCCTATACTGACCTAACTGGAGCTGTAAGACCCCGTTGAGTTTTTTTGGGGGTCGAGTCTTGGTATATTCCAGACGGCACTTTGTTCGGCATCTTTTAATTTGATGTCGGGAATAGAAAGACGACGTATTACCATCATAAACAGTCCACAAGTAACGCCCGATACCTACATCAACTCATACGCATCAAAACAAACTATGGCACATCCCGTAACGCATCTCAAACTACGCATCCACACGTACATGCACTAATTAGAGAGCCCACTTATCGATAATTACCCACACGCTTCACGGACATGTGCACACTGGAAAACTCACATACACACACATACATACAGACGATTATACTCATATACACGTTTTGAGAAGGATTCATACGCCAATGTGTAGGTGTGTACTGTAAACGCACACAGACGTAAACACACACACACACACACACACACAGGCGCTAACAGACATGTGTACGCGTCTATTAGTGACCGGGAAAGGTTTCTGGCCAATCTTTCATCCTGGGTTAAATATTTAGTAAATACATCTCTCTCTCTCTCTCTCTCTCTCTCTCTCTCTCTCTCTCTCTCTCTTTCTTTCAGCCCCATACACACCTGTTAAACACACCCAAACGCATTGATTATTTCCACACCTGTACAAGAATAACTTTGAACGCATTAACTAATTGCTTACCTTAACGGAACACATGGCCACACCTTCCATACCTGCAGAAACTCACTCCACACCTGTCTGAGAATGCTGTAATCCTCCCCAACCCTTCCATACCTGCAGAAAAACAAGAATTCCTCACAGCATTGCAATTCCTTCTTCCGGTCTCGCCTCATTTGCATACAGCGAATGAAAATCCCTTCTTTTTATGCGTACACCTGTGCTGGAGGGGTGGCTGGTTAGATGCCCTCTGTTCTATTAGACCCCAGTCCTAATAGGCCCCAATGCTAAGGGGGTCTGTTCTAATAGGCTACAGTCCTAATAGGGTCTTGCTCTAATAGGCCCCAGTTCTTTGGGTTTTAGTTCTAATCAGTTCTAAAATGGGATAAGAGAGAGAGAGAGAGAGAGAGAGTCAATCTTGCCTTCACTAAACCTTCATTACAATTAACAACATTAATGAATTAACCCCAATTACTTAACTCCATCAAAAACGAATATAATTAATCACACAAAAGAATTAAATAAACACATTTCACAAGACGTAAATGTATACAAAATTTACCATTAATTTTTTTATTCACTTTTTTTATGCATTTTTTACCCGTTTTCTATAAAGTGAAGTTACAAGAGGGGAGACTAATCACTTTTTTTGATCCAACTGGTGATTTTTTTTTTATGGAACGATTGGATTAGTTAATTAATGATTGGTATATATAATCGTTGTTTGGGAGAGTATAATTAAATGTTGTTCAGGTTTTTCTGCTAATTATCAGTAGTGAGAATTTTTTTTTAAACAGGTAAGTTAGTGGTATTGTGGTAAGGTTTGTGGTACGAGGGTGGTAGATGAGGGACAGTTGTGTTGTGGTAGTGTGGGTGTGGTTGTGGTTGAAATGGTGAATACAAAACACAGACTCAGGGAGAACACATGATATAGTTATGAATGGTAGTTGATGGTGGTAGCGGAAGTGGCGTAGTGATTGTGGTCAATGACTGGTGGGATGGCGTAATAGTGGTTGATAATGGTAGTTGTTGTTTTTTAGTGAAGTGGTGGTAGTAGTAGTGGCTATTGGGGGAGGATGGAGGCCACGTTAAGAGAAAAAAATAGTAGTAGTAGTAGTAATGATGATTGTGGTTATACTGGTTATTGTAACGATAGTGGTAGTCGACAGTAGTGGTAGAAATAATCAACGGCAATGGTGGCTGTGATAGTACTGTTAATAATGGTGGTAGCAAAACAATTTAATAGTAGCGATGGTGGTAGTTCAAGAGGAATCGTGGTAGGTCGAGACAGTGGTGGTGGTGGTAATTGTGGTAGGCGGCGACAGTAGCGATGGTGGTAGACAGGAAGTTAACGGGGGGTGTTGTCCTGTCCTGATAGATAGAACCCCTCCCTCCTCTCCCTTCCCTCCTCTCCCTTTCCTCCCTCCTCTCCCTTTCCTCCCTCCTCTCTCCATTCCCATTCATTAACCCTCACCCTTCACATCCCTTTCCCTTCCGTCATCAATCCCCTTTCCTCTGTCTATCTATTTATCTATTCCAAAGTCACCCCCCGCAATCACACGCTTAAAATCATTTCCCTCCCTCAATCACCTTCTCAAATCACCCCTCTTTCAATCACTCCCTGCAATTAACCCCTCTCCCTCAATCACCCACCCCCGCAATTACCCACCAAACCCTCTCCTCAGTGATGGAAGGGGAACTTACTACCTGTGTTTTTTAACGTTACGTCACCAAGGTAATTTAAATAACAAAAACCATTCCTCAAGATTCCCAGGAGTGTTACGGTGAGATGGCTTCCGTAACACCGTAACATCTTGGAGGAGTGGATCGTGTTCGTGACGTGAAGTACTGACTCTGTGACGTGTTATTTTAGGGAGGGGAGTAACGTAACGCTTTGTTTTCGTTGTCTGTTTTTGTTTGTATTGTGACTTGTCTTAAATGTAACGTAATGAAGGATGGAAGGTCTCCGTAACGCATTGCTTACCGTAACGCATTATCCCTGTAACGCATTGCCTCCGTAACGCATTGTCACCGTAACGCATTATCACCGTAACGCATCGTGTTCATAATCTCAAGCCAACGTAACACCGAAGGAGTAATCATCACTGCGTTACCCATTACTGCGCATGCGTAACGCCTCACAGGTAAACATTTATAGCGTAACGTGATATTTTTTTTTAGTTATTGGGAGGGGAGGGGAGAGAAGTGGTGAGGGAAGGGGTTGAAGTGAAGGGGAGGAGGGTTAAAGTGATGGTCAATTCCCCCCCCCCCCCCATTCTTTGTTGATGGTGCGACGTGGGGAATAGTGTACAAGAGAGTTGAATGCATGTTTCTTGTATAATTGGGAAAATGGAAT